CAGTGAAATAGGTGTATTCATGTGCATTCTACTCAGAATGGCCATTGCATCATTTTGCAGAAAGAATAACTGATTATGATCCTGTGTGGAGGGTGTTGCTGTGCATACCTACATTCTAAGTAAGAAAAATGATCAAAATTGAGGAGACAATACTCAGTTTTATGAACATTTTCTCATTAGAAAAGTGGTCCATTTAAATGTGCATCATGTGATTTATAGAAACATATGGGAAAGGATAAAAAGACATTCACATTTTATTTTGTAGAGTAAAAAAAAGCTTGAGCTACTGAAGAAAATTCCTGAGAGTACATAGTTCCATAACTAAATCCAATTTTAAATCTAAATTTAATCTTAATTTAAAACTAATTAGAACATTAGGGACCGCCACTGTGGCACAGTGGGTTAACACCCTAGCCTGAAGCGCTGGCATCCTAGATGGACCCAGGTTCAATACCCGGCTGCTCCACTTCCCATCCAGCTCTCTGCTATGGCCTGGGAAAGCAGTAGAAGATGGCCCAAGTCTCTGGGCCCCTGCACCTGCGTGGGAGACCCAGAAGAAGCTCCTGGCTCCTGGCTTCCGATCTGCACAGCTCCAGCCATTGAGGCCAATTGGGGAGTGAACCATTGGATGGAAGACCTCTCTCTCTCTCTCTCTCTCTCTCTCTCTGCCTCTCCTCTCTCTGTGAACTCTGACTTTTAAATAAATAAATAAATCTTTAAAAAAAATAATTAGAACATTAGAGGTATATCTTTTCCTAGTATGAACAGATTTGTAAAATATAAATTTCTCAATACACAGTGACATTTTCTTTTTAAAATTTGGAGTATGATGTTTCAGGAAAAGATTTGGCCCCAAAGTATTCATAAAATTCATGCTTGAAAGGCATACATTTTAAAATCACATTTTGATAGAAATAATTTACTAATAAATTGAATCCTCCCAAGTTTCTAGAGCTATTTAAATATTTACCATGATAAAATGAATTCCACAAAATTATTAACAGAATAGAACACAGTCACTTTATTTCTATTCTCCCCCCTTCTATAAAGTGGCAGTTAATTGGCATTCTTTGTGTTGTTAAGTTTTGTTTTATTCTTAGTTTCCTGTGTCCTGTGGCTTTCAATGAAGAACAGGTCTATCTGGCTGAAAGGTATAGATGCAAATAACTAGAAGCTATTCAAAGTAGTAAGCTGTTAAAGAAAGAAAAGGTGTATTGGGAGGAAAATTTAGTAAATTAGGAAAACATGTGGCCAAAACATACCGTTCTGGGGAGCTAAGTACTGTGTGTATGTGTGTGTGTAAAATCTGAAAATTGCTGGAGTAGCTTAGCAGTGCCTGACATGTGATTACATTGATTTTGCAACGGTGTACTAATTTTTCTGCCTAAAGACTTACTGTTTCCAAGACTCAATTACAAGCCATTTTTTCTGACTTTTTTAGGCAGAGTTAGTTATTTCCTACTCTGCTTCTTGAGTAAGTCTGTTTTTACAGTGTTTTTAGTTTTGCTTGTTTTAAATTTTTTTTTAATTTTCATGTTTGTGTGTGACAGTTTTTCATAGTTATGAAAAACTTTGGTCACTTTATTCACTTCACGTATCTCCTTTAGACTTTTGTCTTGTGGGGCCATGACAGAATTGTTGAGTATGCATAAGTACTTCATTCTTTGATCTTAAATCTATTATTACAAATGTAATCCTTTCAGTCAGTGAGCTGCAGCTGATGAAAGATGTTACAAAGTTTGAAATTTACTAGAGCAATATGTATAGCACAACCCAGTGTTCATGTTATATTTTAATAAGATATTAATATTTGAAAATTATAAATAATGATCCTTCCAGAAATTAATTTATGCAGTTTAGTGCCATTTATACTTTTAAAGCTTTTAAACTTTAAAACAGCATGAAAACTTTGAAATTAAGCATGTTTTAAGTTATTTGTATGAATGCCTATTTCTCTAAACTGTACTTCTCTAAGTCAAGGACCATGTTTTATGCATCTTTGTACCCAGAGCATAATTGATTAACACTTGCTGAATGGGCAAGGGGTGGAACATTTGACGTAGTTGTTAAGATACCAGTTGAGATGCCTGTATCCCACATTGGAGTACCTGAGTTCAACGCCTGGCTCTGGCTCCTGACTCCAGATTCCTGCTAGTGCAGACTTTGGAAGACGGCAGTGATGGATGACTCAAGTAGTTGGGCTCCTGCCACTTATTTCGAAGTTCTTGATTGAATTCCCAGCTCTTTGTTCTGGCTTCAGCCCAGCCCTGGCTTTTGTGGGAAAGAGCTCTGTATATCTTTGTCTCTACCTGTCTTGTCTCTCAAATTAATAAAAATTTAAACAATAATTTGCTGATTCAAGAGGGAAAGTACATCTGTTATACATGATCTAATCTGTTATACATGATCTAATATTATTAAAATATTACTAAGTTTATTTTGTATGTGTATTTAATTTTTGAATGATTAATTGATTGATTTGAATGACAGAGAAAAAGAAGGAAAGACAGAGATATCTTCCATCTGCTGGTTCACTCCCCAAGTGCCTGCAACAGTGAATATTAGACTAGGGTGAAGGCAAGAGTCAGGAACTCCACCTGGGTCTCCCACATTGGTGGCAGGAACCAAAATACTTGGGTCATCACTGAAGCATCCCAAGCAGATTAGCAGGAAGCTGAATCAGAAGTGTGGAATACTTGAATTCAAACCCGCACTCCAGGGGATGTGGGTGTCCCAAGCTACAGTTTAACCTACTGTGCCACAATGTGTGTCCCTAGTTTTTAATATTGTCATTGAATATAGTAAATATATTTATATTTGAAAAATATACTGTGTTTCTGTGCATTGCAGTTATTTTTTTCTTTTTAATAGATTACCCAATTGTCCATCTTTAGCTAGTGAGAATTTCTTCACATTGACTCCTGGGTCCTATTGACACAAACCTGATAGTCTTTGATAGGTTCCTACTGTTTTATATCATGGTGTAATCCAAGCTCATCTTGAACATTTCCTATCCCAGATCTGGAAATACCATTTTCCAAGAAGGCCTGGGAAATGGCATTTGAAGACACACATTTTGGGAAGTTCCTTATTACTAGGTTGGTCATTGTTCCTATACCTTTTCCAGTGGGAAGAGTGAAGAAATATGTACATACATAAATAATGTATATGCATAAGTAATACATCAAGAAACTCAAGCCTTTTTTTCACTTATTTGGTCTTACATATGTGTCTGCTTTATCCCATGCCAAAAATACTAATGACACAGGAATGATAGAATGACAGTCACATAATCGTTCAATTGTTTCACCTTCCAAAGCACACAACAGATTCAGCAAAATTACAGCACCACTATCAACAAACAATATGTTTACTGAGAACAAATTAAGATTATTTTAACAGTTCTTTTTATTATAACACACTAGGGATCTGTGAGTAAATCGTTATTTTAAAGAGACTTGATCTAGCTACTTTGTGTTATTATATCACAAGTAGGATAAACAATGTATTTACTTTTCTCCTTGAAGAGAATCCCTTTGAAGCTTGGATATTTAATCATATGGTCTGATTCTGGGAATGTAGGATAATCATGGAATACACCTCCTTTGCAGCTAAAGCAAGTATAGAAGCAGTAAGGGGAATGGGGCATCTTCTCAGCTTTCCACAATCATCTCTTCCCAACGTAATCATGTTTTAAATTATTTTCTGTTAAATTGGACTCTTTCAAATGGACATATATGTATACTTTCAAAACATTAATGTTTTATTTCAGTTTAGTTCTTCTGTACATAAAATTCATAATTTTTGTCAAAGAGTTCACTTTGGGCAACATATGACTGTATTTCTAGGAAATGTCTCCTTTGGCACGTGAACTCCCTTGAGTGCCAAGGAAAGGCAAGTATTAAGTATTTCTGTTAGTTTGTGAAATCTTTCAGACCTAAAGTTTATTTTACTTTGAAAAACTTGCTCCTGATATGAATACATACTTCTTCTGACAAAGTATTGTTGTGAAATAGTACTATCAAAAACTGTGTTGAACAAGATTTGTCTTTGTTAAAATTAAATTCAAAGAAAAATGAAATGAATTGTTACTTCTTAAAACATGCTGTACTGTGGAATATTGTTTTTTTTTCAAAATTAGCTAAATAGTAATTTTATATTTTTAAATAGAGGTAATGAAGTTTTAAGAAATTAAAAATGATACAGAACAATAACACATAGTGGAATGTATCACTTGGTTTATATCAGATGCTGTGCTGTGCGATTTCTTTCATTTTCTAATTTAATTCTCACAACACACTTATTGGATTACTGTTAATATATATCATTGCCTGTTTTATAAATTCCTTGGGGGAAACTGAGTGTTAAGTTTCTAAGCAAAGATAATTTTGTTATATTGTTGCTTACTGTATATTAAGGAATTGCACATTTAAAAAATAGTGTTTTTGAAAGGCAATTTTTCAGAATTTCAGGGGGTTAAATTTAGGTAAGAACTGTAAACTTGGTTTTCGTAACATGCATCAATTTTAAATGTGTAATATAATGTATATTTAATTGCTTACTAATTGAAAATATAAAATAAGATTTGATGTAACTTGCTATAAATTTCAGTGTTTTAAAGTTCTAATCTATAATAGGTTAGTATTTGAAATGTTGAATATATTTCAGCAAAATATATTTAACACTAAGTTCAAATAGAAAATAGTTAAACTTTCTATATCTGTTTTTAAAACTGTTATTTTCCTTTATGAATAGTATATATATTTAAGGTCTGTAAAATTAAAAATTATAATTAAAAGAATACCCTCTATAACCCATTTTCAGAGCTAACCTCTATTAATATTTTTGTTTATAGTATTCCAGATTATTTTTCCTATTCTTACTTCTGTTTTTAATCGGATTCTCAATACTTTTTCACATCACGGTACAATAAATATTTAGGAAAACATCTTAAAGGAATGCTTCATTTTTAACCTAATTTGTATATTTCTTTTTTTCAGGATTGTACTGTATATGAAACAGAGAATAAAATTCTTCATGTGGTAAGTACATTTGGATGTATTTTTATCTTTGCCACTGGATAATTCTGTGTTTAATTAGTAAATAGGACTTCAGCTTGTAAGAAAATTAGTCAAAATAAAAAATCTAACTTCAATAGTTTTAGTACATATGTTGTAGAAAATATATGAAAGAACCTAAATATAAACTTAGATTGTAATAACTAATAATCATATGCTATATCTGCTGGAAAAACGTAATAGAATGTCTTAGAATTATAATATGTGTTGGTATTGAAATAAAACAATCTAGAGAACAGAGTTTGAAATAAGTTTTTTACTGTCCATCTATAACAAAAAGACATCAAAGAGAATTCTTCTCTATCGTCATTTGAATGAAATACTTCATAAAATGGTCAAAACTCTTTGCTCTGATTCTATACCTACCAAACAACCTTCTAAATGATAATTTGGCAATGTCTGTTGAATCAATTAATGGCTTTGCATGTATTTTATTACTAGAAATGGAGTTAAAATATTTTATTTTGTAAAGAGGCATCTTCTTTCTAGTTGAAAAATAGTTGACTCCTTGTGTTTGTAAATCCTTTTCTTGATTGATGCTGGTCTGTCCTCATAACTTCTTCACCCCTAGTGTGAGATCATTTTATTTCTGCATCTGTAAGGTACTAGATGATGAAGGTCTATATGCCTGCCAAAGGCCATTTCCAATGTCTTCTATTCCTATTTCCAGTTTATAAGGTTATTTCTAAAATGTTTGAATATTTATGAAATGTTCAAGTAGGTAACATTTTAAATGTATTTAGGAAAGGTAACATATTAAAAACATCTTACCTGAATAGTGGGGATAAGTATTATTTCAAAATATCGTCAGTACAGCATTTCTCTTCCTGCTTTGTTATCTACTATATAAATGATACTGAGTAATCCTTTTCTAATCCTCTTCCCTTCATTGTGCAGCAATAATGACTTTCGATATTTATGAGGATGGTCTCAAGAGTGGAGAGTTGATGTACTTTTCTCCTAGTTAGTCCAGGAGGGATAATAATTACTGTTTTGATCTACTTGTAAGGCCTGGAGGATAGAAAGAAACTAATATTTAGGCTATTTGTATTCCAAGTGTTAGGTTCTATAAAAATATTATGTCATTAATCTTCATTTTACAAATAGAGGGAACTAAGGGTCACAAATGTTAAGCTGTTGAAGTGTTGAACTGTTTTTTAAACAGTTATTCTTAAGTGTTGAAATTTAACTGAAATGTGATCCCTGTTAAACATAAGAGTAGGAATAAGAGAGGGAAGAGATATATAATTTGGGACATGCTCAAGCTGACTTGCCCCAAATGGTAGAGTTAGAAACATACCAGGGGACTCCAATTTAATCCCATCAAGGTGGCATGTACCAATGCCATCTCACTAGTCCAAGTGATCAATTTCAGTTCACAATTGATCATAATGAAAGGACTAAGAGTCAAAGGGAGCACATAAGCAAGTCTAGTACCTGCTAACACTAACCGATAGAATAAACAAAGGGGAGAGTGATCCAACATGGGAAGTGAGATACTCAGCAGACTCATAGAATGGCAGATGCCCTAAATAGCACTCTGGCCTCAGAATCAGCCCTAAAGGCACTCGGATCTGGCTGAAAAGCCCATGAGAGTATTTCAGGCATGGAAAGCCAAGACACTCTGGCAAAAGATCTCTGTGAGTGAGATCTCAGTGGAAAGAACAGGTCTTCAAAGAAGGAGGTACCTTTCTCTGAAGGGAGGAGAGAACCTCCACTTTGACTATGACCTTGTCTAAACAAGATAAGAGTCGGAGAACTCAAGGGGCTTCCATAGCCTTGGAAACTCATGACTGGAGCATAGGGAGATTACTGATGCCATAGACAGGAGTGTCGATTGGTAAAGTCAACAACAGGAGTCACTGTGCACTTACTCCTCATGTAGGATCTCTGTCCTTAATGTGCTGTGCATTGAGATTTAATGCTATAACGAGTACTCAAACAGTATATTTCGCTTTGTGTTTCTATGGGGTGCAAACTGTTGAAATCTTTACTTAATGCATACTAAACTGATCCTCTGTAAAAAAAAAAAAAAAAAGAAAAGAAAAGAAACTATCAACTCCCAACTTGACTCTCACTGGGATTAAACATGACAATAGGTCTGATCTGATTTCATCATCATTAAAAAAAATCATCTATTATTTTTCACTTTATGTTTCTGTGTGGGAGCAAACTGTTGAAATCCTTACTTAATGTATACTAAGCTGATCTTCTGTATATTAAGATAATCGAAAATGAATCTTGATGTGAATGGAAGGGGAGAGGGAGTGGGAAAGGGGAGGGTTGTGGGTGGGAGGGACGGTATGGGGGGGAAGCCATAGTAATCCATTATTCGTACTTTGGAAACGTATATTCATTAAATAAAAGTTAAAAAAAAAAAAAAAGATTGAAAATAATTAATAATTATACATATTTATGGGATACAGTATGACATTTCTTTGTTTTTCTTTGTGCTCCTAGAAGCATTTTAAAATGTATTTTAATATTTAACAATTTTTAATGTTTTACCATATTTGCTTCATATGTTGGTAGTATATACATACACAGATAATAGTATTTTTCTTGAAAACAGATGTATTAATATCACAATATATAATTAATGATAATGATCATAAAGTAAGGATAGAAGAGTATGTGTTATATAAATAATAATTCAGTGAATACAATATTTATAACTATCCATATACCAAATAATAAGACATCCACACAATTTCCATACTCCCTATATAGGTTGATTTCCATATCATTGTTATGTTGTACTGGGCTGCTTTAAACATGGAAGTACAGGTATCTCTAGGCTGACTTCATTTCCTTTGAATATATTCCTAAAAGTGGAATAGCTAGGTCATTTAATAGATCCATTTTTGTTTCTTGAGGAATCTCCATACTGTTTTTCATAATAGTTGTACTAATTTGTATTTCTACCAACATTTGAGGACAGATCTGACACCAAACTCCATGCCCTTTCCAGATCTGGCAGTTATGGCCTGTTCTAGATTATTGAGACTCTGAATTATATTCTTATTTCTCATGGGTCATAGGGCTACTGCCTCACTGGGCATATTGTGTTAATAACTAAGGAGTATGAAAAGACCCATTCCCTCCTACGTTTTATTTCTTATGAATGCTTGTTTCTTTGCCATTGAATTTTCTGTGGCAATGACTGCTGTTGTTGAATTTCCTGAATTGGGCTTCAGTCTTTCGTGGTGGGTTCTTCATGGTGCTTACTTCAAGGCTATTATTGACGTCTGTATGTGTTCCAGCTTTCTCTCTGTAAAGCTTCTCAAGAATAGTCTCTTCCTGGTGTTGGTATCAAGAAGAGATGTATTTTTCCTTATGCATTGGCTGCTACAAACTTCACATCAAAGTTTGTGGACCAAGGCTGGCAAGTGCATGTCATGGCATTCATTCTGTATATTAGATTCATTGTCAGCTCTAATTTTTATCCATGATTTCTCTTTACTTGTCTTTCTCAATGTATTTTTATTTGTTGAGATCATATTTTATATGCATATTTGTAATTAATAGTCAAATGTCAAAGAAATTATGAATAATTCATTCAGAAAGATTCTTTAGGAACTATAAAAATATGAAATGTTATTTATTTCTGAAGAAAATTCAATTCCCATCCTGTGACAGTATAGCAGAAATTAATTTAAATGCTTAAAGAAATGCTGTGGGGTTTTTTTTGTACAATGGCTCTTAAATATAATTTTCATGAATTAGGCTAAGGAAATAAATTCTTGGAGGTAGAAAATGAGGTTTGAAATTTTATTTAAAGTTATGATGATTCTATACTGAAACCTGAGTTATTACATGAGAATTTACAATGAACAATCAGCGTCTCACTCCTTTCTCTATACTCAGCTATAGTGATTCATGCTACCAGGTTGGATATTAAAAGATTGACCTTCAGAGAAATGGAATATCTCTAAGAAAAAGGCCCATGCATACTAATATTTGGAGATTTTCAGTTAAATATCTGGATCCCTTTCTGATCACAGAACCATGAAGACCACCCATAAACGAGATTTGGTCACATAAAAAATTTTCAATGATTTATTACCATTTTCAAATAATACTAGATACTCAAAGAGATGCTTTATATTTGCAAAAGTCCTCTAATAGCTTCCTAAACTGGATAACTCTCGCTTCACCACATAACAATTTCAAGAACTAAGATTCAGTGAAATCATCAGGAAGGCAATCCATGTTATCAGTGCCAACCTCACAAATAAACACGGCTGATTTTCGTTTGTGATCCTAAGCATTATAGAGATAGAACACTGGATTTGGATTAACAAAACCTTTAGTTTGAATCTTAGTTCTGAATAATGATAAATTTAGGCAGAATTCTTAAATTCTTTAGCTGATTCTTTAACCTGAGTTTCACAGAGAATAAAGCCTAAAGCAGAGAGTTTATATCTTATTCCTTACAATGGACTGCTATACCATCCATCAATACTGATGGATGAAATTAAGAGGGCAGGGAAGGGAGAGCCATACGGAAGATACATCTGTAAGGTGTTTGCCTAATTTAATAGAATTGTTCCCCAGAGAGCAAGGTCAACAGCATCTCAAGACTTTTCATTAGAGAGGAGAGGAGGGCTTTTCTGTTAGTCCAGTCAAAAGTTTCCCCCTACCTTTCTTGTTGCAAGGGCATTGGCTTCAGTCAATGTTACACAAAGGCATCAGCAGGAAAGCCTAAGAAAAATAAAAAGAACCCTATTAGGGCATGATGTGAGGGATTGTTAAGTGGCTGCTATTTGGGAGCTGAAACCCAGCTGGTGCAAAATAGAGGCAACTGCCTTAACAAAGATATGAGGACCTAAAGTGACTTCAAGTGACATGTTTTCACAGTTTCCTAGTTGTAAAATGGTAATATTAGTATGCATATTTCAGAATTATAAAAAATTCCAATTATAAAACATGCAAAGTGACACACTGGAGGTGTTTATACATAT